CTAGACAGAGTTGAACAGCCACTTGTATAGCTCAATTTAACAATTTTCCAATGATGGAGAGCGTTAAATCCTGGCACCTTGCCACACAACGTGAAGAAGAATGTCAACTTGCAGCCCTGATCACGCCCCTATTTATAATCTATGCCAGCTGGATTACCACAACACAGCGATGGAGGCGTTTGCAAATAGAGTCTATTGAGCAGTGGCATCGCTCATTCATGGCTTTTGACTTCTTACTGGATTCTATCCTATCTTGAAGAAGAAATTTGCATCTTATGTCGATGAAGAGCAGTCTCCATATCCATCATTTCAATTCAACCATGGCCATACTCGATCCATTTTACCACCAAGATGAATGAGTATGCTAGCTGATCAACAGCAGGCAAGAGCTTGTGCGAGCCTGTCCAGCCATCTGGACGAGCTTGGATAAGCATGGATTGCGCATCTCATGAATTACAATACATTCTACTGTAAAGCAACATCCAGTTTTCTACGGTTTGTATGCGATTTTACAATACTTTGTGCTTTCACAGTACTAAACACTGTGGGAACGCACTGTATCAATCACATGATCCATCGCCTTTAGACAATAGCCAAAGGCTTGACGTACAGTACATCAACGTTGCCATGGTGAACGTTGACATAAGACAAGAAATTGACGAGATTTGTCTCAACCCGTAACGATGTACAACATTGGAAGAATGTCGAGGTGTGAATGGAGACAATTACCTTAAGCTTCATGGAATGCATGTCCAAATTGTCCATGAGGCTGATCTAAAAGGGACCTAGTTCAATAATTGATCATGTTATCCATGTCCAATGTCCATGTAAGGAATGGCTTCTAGGTATCTTGTGGCTAGGCCATGGAATACTGCTCGAAAAAGACCTTAAATAGTGGGTCCTTGGCTAGTTACTGGATAATAATGGGCACTGCGGTTGAAAATGAAAAATAATCATGTTATGAATGCCCATTTAAAGCACTGAAAGAGAAAGCTGATTGGCATCATTTACTGGGACCAGATGTACAACCTATGTAGTAGGCAACGATTTTCAAGATTGCATGTTAACATAGGCACAGTACTATACTGCAGTGATAGCGCATTGGCATCATGTGCTGGGACCGGATGTACATTGTACTGCGCAACCCATGCAGTAGACAACGATTTTCATGATCGCATTCGGATAAATGTATGTGCATAGTACTGCAGTAGGCAGCGATCTTCAAGATTGCATGTTAACATAGGCACAGTACTATACTGCAGTGATAGCGCATTGGCATCATGTGCTGAGAGCGGATGTACAACCTATGCAGTAGACAACGATTTTCAGGATCACATTCGGATAAATGTATGTGCACAGTACTGCAGTAGGCAGCGATTTTCAAGATTGCATGTTAACATAGGCACAGTACTATGCTGCAGTGATAGTGCATTGGCATCATGTGCTGAGACCGGATGTACAACCTATGCAGTAGACAACGATTTTCAGGATCGCATTCGGATAAATGCATATGCACAGTCCTGTAGTTTTATAGCTCATTGGCATCATGTGCTGGGACCGGATGGACATGGTACAACCTATGCAGTAGATCAATGTTGTGTGAATGGCTTGAGTAAAGATAGCTTAGCTGTTTTTGACAAAGCATGTAACATCCTTCATGTAGAGTAATTTAGATAAAGCTTGCAGCAAATCTAGGATACAGTGCTACAGGCTCAATCTACTGTAGACGAGTTCAAAGAAAGCTTCGAGTAAAAGAAAAACTTCCCTTCATTAAAATCAAATCAATGATATAGTGCCTGTAGAGTAGTTCAAATAAAGCTTCGAGCACAGTAATGTGCAGGAGTTGAAAGAAAACTTGCAAATTGCAACTAATAAATGATACAGTAGACAGTAAGTAAAATGGCCTTGTTGTAGCCTTTCTTGGCGCTCAATGGAAAGTAGTTCAAAGAAAGCGTTAGGGAAAATACGTGTAAATGATAGAGTGGTACTAGATGTTCAATGGACCGTACATGTACACATTGTACAACAGTAAACGCCTCATGCAAACTAATTGAAAGAAAGTTTCCATCAAATAAATGATACTGTAGTGGCGCTGTTGTAGCCATATCAAACGGTCAATCTAAAGGAGTTGCAAAGAAAGCTTACAAAACGCATTGCACAGTAGCTCAAATAAGGTTTCCAATATCATTTAGAGCTTTACTTGCACTTTCAATGCATGGATAATATCACTACGAGCTGTAATATCATACCATTAGTACCAAACATACGTGATAATACCACCGTCATGGAAGTGAACTAAAGCATCAAGTAAATAAATGATTTCCCAACACCAACATTGTTGATCACTTCTTGTAGAGAACTTTATAATGACCGCGCTTCAGCCATTAGACCTACTACGGTCGCATCAACAACTAGTATACTAAAAAATGAGAATCCTGGCTAGTAATATACTATAGGTCATTCATATGTTTTTGCAAGGTCAAATAATTGTGCAGTCCATGGCTCACCAAAGACTCAAGTATACTGCTATGAACTACTTACACATACCGTTCGAAAAATTATAATGATTCATTACGTACACTACTGTACATTAAATAATGATAGAATTAGCTTTTTAAATAACATAAATATTTAGAATTAATTCAACTCACCAATAATAATACTGTAGGCTTGGCCAGGAACTGACCAGAAAATGGCCGCCATTTTAAAATAATAAATGGAATGCAATAATCAGCGAAAATATCTTGATCCATTCTATTCGAATTAGACTAATAGGTTTGATTTGTACATGGGAATCGAATCGACTCAAAAGGTATACTGACCCTTTAATCGTTCCTTGTTTATGAGACTATGTAGGGAAAATGAATATTTTCCCAACTATTTCAATTGCTGATATTTATCGATCGATCTTAGAATTCAATCTCAAGTGAAAGCCAATTTTCTAATTGCTCGTATAGTACTCTACCAGC